GTAACTCAACACAATGTCAATTCTTCCTAAACTCATCTAGAAGCTTAATGCAATTCCTAGAAAAATCCCAGTAAAGTTTTACTACACACAGATACATTTAATCTTCAATTTATATAGAAAGGCAACAAAACTAGAATAGCTAAAATAATTTTGAAATAGAAAAATAAAGTGGAAGGAATCACTCTATCTACATTAGAGCTTCCTATATAGCTATTATAATCAAGACAGTATGGTACTAACAGAGAGACAGACACAAAGATCAATGAAACAAATGGAGTACCTAAAAATAAACCCACACAAATATGCCCAACTGATTTCTGACAAAGATGCCAAAGCAATTCAATAGAGTTTGATAGCCTTTTCAACAAAGGGTGCAAAAGCAATTACATCCACAGGCAAAAAAAAATTAACCTTGACCTAAACCTCACACTTAATTATATAAAAATTCACTCAAAATAGATTATGACTTGGATAAAACTATAAAACTTTTAGAGAAAAAAATAGGAGAAAAATGTTAAAACCTAGAACTATGCAAAGTTCTTTGAATTGATACCGAAGACATGATCCATAAGAGGAAAAACTGATAAACTAGACTGAATCAAAATCTAGTATGAGTGAACAACCCAGAGCTAATTAGTGGGACTTTATTACTAACATATTCCTCCTATAACTATGATGGTTAGACTTCTTAAAGCAGTCATGGCATAAGACTCTACAACTGAGGAGCTTAAGACAGATGGGGAAAACAGGGTTAGAAGGCTAAAGTTTTTGAGTCAATCTAGAAAAGCTTTTATAAGCATTTTCACATGGAATAAAAGAGAGTCCAGACAACATAATAAATATATAGTATCATATAGCCACACTAGATTTTGTATAATTAACTATACCTTGTGCTCACTAGAAATTTTTTAGTATCTCCTACCCCTGCTGTTCAAAAGAGATGATTAAAAATTCATTTTTGGAATAAGACAAGCATTACCCTGATACCAAAACCAGATAAAGACACCAGGGGAAAAAAAAGAAAAAAAGAACTATAGGCCAATATTTCTGATGAACACAGATGCAAAAATCCTCAACAAAATACTAGCAAACTGCATCCAACAATACATTAAAAAAATCATTCACCACCATCAAGTGGGATTTATTCCTGTTGCAAGGGTGATTCAATATTTGCAAATCAATCAATGTGATACATCACATTAATAAGAGAAAGGGTAAGAACTATATAATCATTTCAGTAGATGCAGAAAAGGCACTTGACAAAGTATAACATCCATTCATGGTAAAAGCCTTCAACAAAGGTTTAGAGGGAACATACCTCAACATAATAAAGACCATATATGAAAAACCCACAGCAAACATCATACTCAATGGGGAAAAACTGAGAGCTTTCCCCCTAAGGTCAGGAACAAGACAAGGATGTCTACTCTCACCACTTTTATCCAACATAGAACTGGAAGTCCTAGCCACAGCAATCAGACAACAAAAAGAAACAAAAGGCATCTAAATCAGTAAGGAAGAAGTCAACCTTTCATTATTTGCAGATGACATGACACTCTATACAGAAAACCTGAAAGACTCCAAAAACACCCGCTAGAACTAATATATGAAGTCAGTAAATTCACAGGATACAAAAAACACAGTAAATTCACAGGATACAAAAACAGAAATCTGTTGCATTTCTATACACCAATAATGAAGCTGCAAAAAAGAAATTAAGAAACAATCCCATTTATAATTATATCCAAAACAATAAGATACCTAGGAATAAAACTAACCAAAGAGGTAAAAGAGTTATACTCTGAAAACTGTAAAACACTGATGAAATTCAAGATGACACAAAGAAATGGAAAGACATTCCATGTTCATGGATTGAAAGACCAAATATTGTTAAAATGTCTATATTACTCAAAGCAATGTACACATTTAATTCAATCCCTATCAAAATACCACCAGCATTTTTCACAGAGCTAGAACAATCCTAAAATTTGTATGGAACCACAAAAGACCCTGAATAGCCAAAGCAATCATGAAAAAGAAAAGCAAAGCTGGAGGCATCACAATTCCAGATTTCAAGTTATATTACAAAGCTGTAGATATCAAAACAGTATGGTACTGGCACAAAAAGAGACACACAAATCAACAGAACAGAACAGAAAACTCAGAAATAAACCCACAAATCAATTAATCTTTGACAAAGCAGGAAAAAATATCCAATGGGAAAAAGACAGTCTCTTGAACAAATGGTATGGGGAAAACTGGGCAGCAACATGCAAAAGAATGAAACTGGACCACTTTTGGGGTGCCTGGGTGGCTCAGTCAGTTAAACATATCTGCCTTTGGCTCAGGTCATGATCCTGGGTCCTGGGATTGAGCCCTGCATCAGGCTCCCTGCTAATTGGGAAGCCTGTTCTCCCTCTGTTCCCCCCACTGGTGCTCTCTCTCTCTCTCGCTCTCTATCTCAGATAAATAAATAAAATCTTTTTTTTTTTTTTTTTAATGTAAATAAAAAAAATCTTAAAAAAAAAAAAAAAGAAAAGAAAAAGAAACTGGACCACTTTCTTACACCATACACAAAAATAAATTCAAATGGATTACAGACCTAAATGTGAGACCTGAAACCATAAAAATCCTAGAAGGGAACACAGGTAGTAACTTCTCTGACATTGGTTGTAACAATTTTTTTCTAGATATGTCTCCTGAAGCAAGGGAAACAAAAAGCAAAAATAAACTTGGGGACTACATCAAAATAACAGGCTTCTACATAGTGACAGTGAAGGAAACATCAACAAAACTAAAAGCTATGGAATGGGAGAAGATATTTGAAAATGACATATCTGATAAAGGGTTAATATCCAAAATATATAAAGAACTTATAAAACTCAACACCTAAAAAACAAATAATCCAATTAAAAAAAAAGGACAGAAGACATGAACAGACACTTCTCCAAAAAAAGACATTCAGATGGCCAAGAGACACATGAAAAGATGCTCATCATCACTTATCCTCAAGGAAATGCAAATCCGAACTACAATGAGATATCACCTCACACCTGACAGAATGGCTAAAATCAAAAACATAAGAAAGAGTGTTGGCAAGGACCCTCATGCACTGTTGGTGGGAATGCAAATTGGTGTAGCCACTGTGGAAGACAGTATGGAGGTTTCTCAGAAAGTTAAAAATAGAACTACCCTATGATGTAACAATCGCACTATTGGGTATATCTACCCAAAGAATATAAAAACACTAATTTGAAGGGATACATGCACCCCTATGTTTACTGCAGCATTATTTTCAATAACTAAACTATGGAAGCAGCCGAAGTGTCTACTGATAGATGAATGGAGAAGGAAGATGTTGTGTGTGTGTGTGTGTGTGTGTGTGTGTGTATATACACACAATGGAATATTATTCAGCCATAAAGAAGACTGAAATCTGGCCATTTACAACAACATGAATGGAGCTAAAGAATATAATGCAAAATAAGTCAGTTGGAGAAAGACAAATAATGTAGGATTTCACTGAAATGTGGAATTTAAGAAACAAAACAAATGAGCAAAGGGAAAGAGACAGAGAGAGAGAGAAAGAGAGAGAGAGAGAGAGAGAAACTTAGAAACAGACTCTTAACTATAAAGAACAAACTGATGGTTACCAGAGGGGAGGTGGGGGGGGAGGATGGGTTAAATAGGTGATGGGGGTTAAGGGGTGCACTTGTTGTGATGAGCACGAGGTGATAAGTGGAATTGTAGAACCACTATATTGTACACCTGAAACTAATACAACACTGTATGTTAACTAACGAATTAAAATAAAAACTAAAAAGAAAGAAATCTTGTCATTTGCAACTATGTGGATGGACCCTGAGGGTATTAAGTGAAATAAGACAGAAAGACATGATCTCACTTACATGTAGAATCTTAAAAAAAACAAACAAAAAAAGGACTCACAGATACAAAGAATACTGATGGTTGCCAGAGGCAGGTGGTGGAGGGCTGCCCAAAATGGGTAAAGGTGGTCAGAAGGTATAAACTTCCAGTTATAAGATAAATGAATCCTGAGCATGTAACCTACAGTATGGTGACTATAGTTAATACTGTACTGTACCTGAAAGTTGCTTAGAGAATAAATCTTAAAAGTTCTCATCACAGGAAAAGAAATGTTACTATGTGTAATAATGGATATTAACTAAATTACTGTAATCATTTTGAATTATATAAAGAAATTATGTTGTACACCTATAAGTAATACAATGTTTGAGATATGTCAGTCATATCTCAAAACTAGTAATAAAATGTTCCTATCAAAAAACAAATCTGAAAATGTCAGCATCCTCAATGCTTCTTTTACCACCAAATAAAGTCCAGACTCATTGGAGGAAGAAAAAAAGCCATTTCCATTTCTTAAAGATATTAAGTATATTAAGAGTCTTTTCAATTTCCCTGTGTTTGAACCCCCATCCTACTTGCTTTTCCATTCAATACTTTTATGATTCAATAACTTACACTAATTGACTCCTACTTCTGAGTTTCCACTGTGCTAGAGATGCTTTCAATAAACTCCTAAATTATTATTCCACAAACTTCTTCATTGTACACAATGTCTTATAATCTTAGCACCTCTGCTCATACAATTTTATGCCAAATTCATAATATAGCATTCTAACATAAAACTCTCCAGACTAATTTTTTGACTGCCTACTTTCTATAACCCCAATGCATCCAGAGTATAATTTTAAAATCTGGGTTTGCTTCCTCAGCTTCCTTATCTCCCTGGAGAGTTCATTGAAAATAACTGTTCCTGCTGAGCAAATTGCTTTTTTTCTCATTTCCATTCCCAAACTCCAGTTCTTTATATAAGTATTTCCAACAGGAGGCTCTCAAAACATATTTTGGAATTAAAACTCTGGTGCTTGAGGGAACTGTATATCCATATATACTCACAGTCTCCAGAGAAGTAGTGACTAGGGAAGAATTACATCTTATAAACATTTTCCAGTTACCTGACTCCTGTTTGATTTGAATGGTAGGCTTGATACCAGGTGGCAAAGGAGATTGCTGAGGCTGTTGCTGATGAGATACTGGAGCAGGCTGGGCCACCTGTTGCTGGGTCTGTTGCTGCACTTGATGTAACTGCTGCTTAGGAGACTGTTGATGCTGTTTAGGAAACTGTGCAAGAATCTGAGTTGGGGCACCTACTAAACTTTTGGGGGAAGGAAGTCTGGTTGATGCCATTTTGATCGCTGATGTAGATACGCCTGTAGAAGAGTAGGGGGAAAAGAATTTATTTAATAGTAAAGCAGTTAAAGCTACTTCTTGTAGAAGATGATAAAGACCAGGTAAATCAATAAAAACAATGATTAAGCACCTGTTAAATGTCATACATAATATGTGGTATTTTACATATTTGACATACAGTCCTCAAACTTTGCAAGGAAGGCATTGCTCTCACACTCAAAAAAATTGATTTTCCCTTGGTGAGAGTTAAGAGTGAAAGATAAAATAACAGGAAGGATACTCACATGTCTCTCAATAAATTTTGTTGGAAAATAAGGTTCTAAATGTGAATAATATAAGAACACAGCAAACTAAGTTTTGAATTATTTGCAATACATTTTTGAAAAATTACTTTTCAGGTTCCAATAAGTCAATTTAAATAAGGCAAGAGAAAATATTTCACACTGAAACATTCATCTTTTGAACTATTCAGCATGGCAAAGTAGCTTTTCAGGATCTCATTTCTGATGATCTATAAATTAAAGTCATTTCTTGAGAACTCTAACTGGGTCATTAAGTAACCTGTGAAAAATTACAAGTGGGCATACTCAATACATCCATTGCAAAACAATTCTAATGACATATGGAATTAAGACATTGTTTCTTAGGGCAATGCTAATATTAGCAGCATGCATAGGTAAGGAGTACCAGTAAGTTCCACTAAAGATGTACGAGTTTGAGAGAAATTCTTCCCTCTCCCAGGTATTTCTTCAGTAATTTTCTTACAATTCTTCAATAACAAAATAGGACTAGTATCTGTAAATGATTTAATTTTCCTAACAACCTGGAATTTAACTCATCAACTTTTTGAGCACTGCTGAAATGAAATGAAACTCATAAATTAATAGCTCAATTGTCAAATTCTTAGGCTATTTCACACCTTCTTCTTCCATACCCTCCATTATGACAATTACCTTGCATTACAGAAAAAATTTTAAACAATATCACATTTCTATCTAAAATGTTCTGGAGAATGATAAAGATGGAAAAGAAACCTTGAGAAGTCATTCTGATTCCCAGGGGCCTCAGCTCCCCCATCTGTTGAATTTTCCTTGCCCTATAGGTCTCTAAGGGTTGCTGTGTGGATCAGGTAAAATCAGACTGAGGACTACTTTGAGAGACAAAAGGTGTAATCAGAATCACCGGGAGGGCTTACCCACATTACCTACATATTGTCTCACCTCACCCAAACCCAACCCTCTCCAAATACTAGTATTTGACATGTGTGTAATACTGCTTAGTTGTGCTGAACAAGATTATCTCTGGAGCCCCGTTCGGCACCAACATTTTATGACTCAATGAATATAGTTTTATACAAGTGAAAGATATTATTTTTAAACTATTTAAAAGCTCTAACCTTTATACTAAATTTATAATGAACTCCTGTATTGAGATAAACTCTGTACATCGTAAACTCCCTCTGTTCTCCAAAGAGTTTTTTATAGTAAAAGTATGTGATGTAAAAGCAGTCAGGATAACTTGAGACTCTGAGAAGTATGTCCAAATCATGCCTTCAACATATAAACACATTACCAGCTGTATAATCTGATTGAAGTACTTAATCTGAGTATTTGTTCATTCAGTAAAAATTTACTGAGCACATACTTTATGCTAGATCCTTGGGAAACTATACTGTATCCACGAAACTGTCCTGACCCTCAGAAAGGTTACAAGAGAAGATAATCAAATGATTATACAAATCTATTATTTCAAACCGTAATGAAGGCTATTTTTGTTTTAACAAGTGAAAGGTCCTCTTCCTTTTGCCCTTTGTTTCCCAAACAATTCAGCACTAAAGCTGTCAGCTAGTGCAAAGCAAGATGAACAACTAGGTAGCTAAACAGAAGAGTGGCTTAGCAGGTGCTCGCTTCAGCAGCACATATACCAAAATTGGAAGAAGAGTGGCTTAGCAGGAAACGTCAGAGCCCACTGCAGAAACAGGTCTAGCAGGGAAATCAGAGTAAGACGAGGAGGGTGTCCATGCTGGGAAACTCAGGACACAGCACGCATGTACAGTCACAGCCCCGTAAGCCAGAGAGGAGTTCCATGAGTGCAAGCCACCCCACAGAGAGTCTCAAAGCTTGAGCAGAATGTCCACTGGAAGGGGTGGCTAAAGTGGTATCAGAATCCAAAAGAAATGAAAAGGCCTTCTGGGTGGGAAGGCAGCCTGTCATAGGTGTTAGAGCTGAGAAGGGGTGAGACTGGCATCCATGCAGAAGGGTAATGTGGGGAGAGTGTCAGAAACAGGTGGGGTGACGCAGGAGTCTACAGGATGTCAGAGCCCGAGTGGAGTGAGAAAGGCCTCTGCATGGCGATGGGGGCAACGGCAACAACAACAGACTGGTTGCTTACGGGAGAACTGATAAAATAAGTAAATAAATGAAAGATAATGGAAGTTAGGTTTTTCACTATCAAAGAAGGGAAAGGAGAAAACTAGAGTTGTTTGACTGAAATTAGATACATGAGTATGAACCCACAGTTTTCATTATATAGAAATAAACATAGATATAAATATGTGTGCGTATAAATGTACACACATAACATAGCAGTAGCATATCTAGCACCCAGATTCTAGCTAATTATGACTTTCCACTAAAAGGAATCAGGGTTCCTTGGAACAATGGCTGATCCCAGGGCTAGAGTAGGAAAAGTACAAGATGAGCTTGGTAAATATAAAATTTTTACTCCTCTTCTGTTATGTCTTTAACAGGAAATTGACTGTTTAAAGCAAAAATAATAGCAGTGCAATGTGGGGTTTGTAATGTATAGAATTAAAATGGAGGACGACCATAGCACAGGATGAGAGAGAGAAAACAGAAGAGTACTATTCGAAGATTCTAACACAATATGGGAAGTGGTATATTACTTCAAGAGAGACTGTTATAAATTAAAAACGCATAATGTAAGCTCTAGAGCTGAGTTCTCAACCAAGGGCAGCTTGCCCCTTCCTACTCCCAGCGGTGGCAATCACTGGAGACATTTTTCATTGTCACGACAGGGGCTATGGCTACCAGTATCTAGTAGTAGGCAGAGGTGAGAAATGCTATTAAACGTCCTATAATGTGCAGGTTAGCCCCTCATAGCAAATAATTATCTGGCCCAAAATGTCCATATGTGAAGGTTGAGACCCAACTCTAGAAGTATTTAAAAAGTGTAAAAAAAAAGTATACACACACAGACACACACACACACACACAGCTAAGAAGCCTGTTAAGAAGCCAATTGAAGAGATAAAATGAAATCCTTTTTTAAAAAAAATCAACAAATCCAAGAGATGAGAAAAGAGGGAAAAGGAAACAAAGAACAGAGAGGATGAATAAAAAACAATTATCAAGATAGTAGAACTTGAATTCAATCATATTGATAATTACATTGAAATGTAAATAGACTCAGTAATTCAATGAAAAGGCAGAGATGGTCAGGATTAAAAAAAAAGTAAGCCTTAACTATATAATGTTCATAAGAGATACATTTTATTTATCTTTTAAAAAGATTTTATTTTTAAGTAACCTCTATACCCAACGTGGGGCTCAAACTTACAACTCCAAGATCAAGAGTCGCATGCCCTACTGACTGAGCCAGCCAGGTATCCCAAGAGATGCATCTTAAACACAAAGGACAGATGGGTTAAAAGTAAAAGGATGAAGAAAGATATATCATGGAAACACTAATTATAAGAAAGCTGGATGGGGCGCCTGGGTGGCTCAGTCATTAAGTGTCTGCCTTTGGCTCAGGTCATGATCCCAGGGTCCTGGGATCGAGCCCACATCGGGCTCCCTGCTCAGCCGGGAGCCTGCTTCTCCCTCTCCTACTCCCCCTGCTTGTGTTCCCTCTCTAGCGGTCTCTCTCTCTGTGTCAAATAAATAAATAAAATCTTTAAAAAAAAATAAAGTTGGATGGCTACGTTAATATCAGAAAAGGTAGACATTAAAACAAGAAGTATTACCAGAGGAAAAAAGCAATGCTTTATAAAAAGGAGGTGACTTCATCAAGAAGAAACAAAAGTCAACTATACTTCACTAATAAAAAAATTTTTTTAAAAAGACAACAATCCTAAATGTGCATGCACCTAATAAAAGAGATCAAAATACATGAGACAAAAACTGACAGTGTTGAAAAGAGAAATGCACAAGGCTGCAGTTATAGTTGGAGATATTTACACTCCTCTCTCAGTAACTGATATTACAAGTAGACCAAAAAAAAAAAATTAAAAAAAGGATATTTGAACAATTCTATTAACCAATTTAACCTCATTGATAGGTACAAGACCAAATAAAAAAATCAATTCTTCTAAAACCATTTACTAAAGAATCTAATGCAGTATATACTCTTAGTTGCTTGGTTAATTTTCTTTCTCCTCTGCCTTTTGTCCCAACAAAAACCCATTTTCTCCCCTCAAAAGGATCCACCTTCCTGGGTACTGCCATTTATTTTTTGGAGGGTCCCAAATCAGCCCTAGAGGGCAATTTCCAACTGATCTAGGCCAGTCATGATGGCTCCATTCCTCTTGCCAGGGACTAATTTAGGCTAGGGTGTATGACACAGTTGTGGCCAACAAGACCTAAGATCCTTCTCCTGGGAACTTCTGGGAAAGGTATTCTCTTTCTTAAGAGAGACTCACGAAAGGGGACTGTCTCTTCTTCCTGTGCCCGTTGTCATATCTGGATGCGACACATGAAATTGTTGCACTCATCCTGCAACCATGATGTGAGCTACCTGAGAAAAAAGCTGACACACCAAGGAAAGCCTAGAAGAAACTTCTTGATGGCTCCAGTGAGCTGCTACTTAACTTAATTGGACTTCTCTGCTTCTGGACTTTTGGTTTTATGAGATAATAAATTTTCTTATTAAAAACCAATTGCTCAGTCAGATTTATGGAAAGTTATTCAATTATTTATCGAATTTGCAATTCAAGTTATATATTAATAACCCAGGGCTCCATAACAATCAAACATCTGAATGCCGAAAGAATACAGGCTAC